GGAGAGTTGGTGCTGACGCGGCGTCCTCCACGGGGGCTCGCCTGCCTGCTCGGCTGCGCGTGCGCCCAGGTGCACACCTGTGCGCATGCCTGCCCAAGCCCCGCCCCCGGCCTGCCCTCACCTGCGCGGCCGAACTCCTCGGCCTCCTGCGGCACCATGTCCTTCACGCGGCTGCCGTAGGCGAGGCGGGCGTCCTGGTCGTAAGCCTTGAGGGTCTCGCTGGAGCTGTAGGACTTCTGCGGGGCCTTGCCCTCCTCGCTGTCGGCGGATGAGCTGGTGTAGCGGCGCTCGGCGTCACGGCGCCGGGTCAGCGAGCGGTACGGCTTCCTCTCCTTCACGTCCATGGCCTCGGGCTCGCGCTCCTCCACATCCACGAACAGGGTCCTCGCCGCACTTAGGGCCGAGTGGTCTGGAGCCCAAGAAACCAAAGAAAGGGCGTGAGCTCCAGCCCCGGGAGGCAAAGGCAATCCCGGGTCCACCCCGGACCTCGATTCTCCCCGCAGCGCTGTGGACGAGGGGCCTCAGCCTCTGGAGGTGACGGCGCCGCCCTACCGTCACACAGCCAGGACTGGTACGGGGGACTTGTACTCGGGGTTTGGAATGATGACTCCTTTCTCTTTCTGCTACGCCGCCTATCCACCGTGAAGATGCCCTCAGCCGCCCCTACAGCGATGGGTATCCAGGAAGCTGACCTACAAAGGCCAGAGGGCACTGGTTTTCTAGATCCCATTAGATGGGAATCACGTGTTTGTTTCCATCAAGCCCCCAGCTGGGACAGGGCCTGACCCAGAACCGGAGCTCCTTAAGAATTTGTAAAATGAATGACTATACTCAGGCACAGGGGTACGCACTTTGCATATATTTTCTCATTAAATTGTCACATGTCACGAGATGTTAGTACTGTCTCCAACCTTTTTTGGAAATGAGCCAAGGTATAAATCACTAATACACACTATCACCACCAGATAATTAAATAATGCCCTGCTTATCGTCTGTTTTCTTCCACTAATATGTATACACCATGAGAGCAGCGGCCTTACCTGCTCACTCCTGATCTACAGCACAGAAAGTAAAGCCAGGCGCCCCCAATACAGATTTGATAAATTAGCCAGCCAACCAATCCCCATCTGACAGATAAGATAACTGAGGTTCCAAAACCTCCTTTAAGGTGATGGAGGTGGTTAAGTAACAAAGCCAGGAGCTAAAGCCAGGTCTGTTTGGCTCTAAAACCTGAGTTTGTCCTGTTCTGTTACGCCCTGTTGAGTCCCCTCCCTCCCACTACACAAAATGTCCTTTCAGGGAGGCTAGCCCTGACTACCATGCTGAGCAGAGAACTCCCTCACCTCCAGACTTGTCCATCTCATCAGAGGTACCATCCACACCTCCTGCATATGTCTGAGGGTTGCTAGGGTGTCTAGTTGGTGGAAAGTTCCTATCTTCCTTTCTCCTCTTTTCCCTATCTTGGCCCTTTTGCCCTAGACTGACACTTTTTTTTTAAGCTGACATGGCATCCTTTTTCTCCTTCCAAATGTCTTTCTTTGGCTCTAGGGTAGCAAACGTAGCCCTCTACAAAAGCCAGGAGGTCAGCAGAATATCCTGCACGAAGTGTGATGAGAGCTCTTACTTGAAACGTTCTACCTTCTCAGTTCTTTCATTGTTCCACTTTTCAGAGCAACATGGGTATACAAAACATTCTACTGCATCACTATCCTATTAGAGAAACAACAGAGCAAGATCTGTCATTAAGGAGTCTCAGTGCTCGGGGTGGTGCCTCTGACAGGGCAGTGAGTGTTCAGTGCCTGCCAACGCTGCCACATAGGAGTGAAGGAGGTCTTATGAATTTTTAAGACAAGCTAGAAATTTGGACTTGGATATAAAATGAATGATCTAAAAATGTTATTCATTATTACATACAGGCCAAATTAAACACACTGATGGGTCAGTTTTGTTCTGAGGGCTAGCGGTTTCTGAGTTCTGCCTTTGATCATGGACATTAGAGGTATCAGTGTCCCTTTGGCCTGAGGATGCTCTCTTCCCTCCCAAGCAAGGCCCCAAGGGCCCTCTCCAGGGCAGGTCTTAGCTAGGCACCTATGCAACCTGTCTTGTGAAAGACTTCTCCAGACCCACTCAAACAGGGCCATATGTCCTAACCTACAGAGATGCATCACTTGCTTGGCAAAGGAATGTCTGAGGTTACCACTTGATGTCTCTGGGATTTATCATGGATCTGCTGTAGACTTCCCTCTACATAGTTCTCCATGATCTTCAAGAGTGCAAATACTTGTGACTTTACTGGTGCCTCAAATAACCATGATGTATATAAAACAAGTAAGTTCACCCCCATTTTATACAGGGGGCACCAGTAACCCAGGGGCATCCTGTTTCTTCCCCAAGGCCATATGGTGAGCTAGTGACAAAGCCAGCATTACTAGGCAGGCTACAGTGCCTTAGGGTGGTAATTAGAGCCAGTCAAGATGGATAAATGACATTTTGGGGGATTCAATTCTCAAAATACCCCTGGAAATTCATGCTGGGACAAGGGGTTTGACCTAGGATACACAGAAATGAAATCATCTTACTAGGGCCCCAACCCAGGGCCCTGAGCGCTGCCCTGTTGACGCTAGGCCTCTTGGCACTGACTGATAAGACATGGTCCTCTGAGTGCCTGAGGGACAGGACCACAGGGAAGACAGGTGATGAAAACTTCTACTCCAGGACCTGCAGAATCTTTTGTCTGAGCTCCGTAATTTGAAAAACATTTTTCATTGTGATCAGATACACACATTTATGTATGTGAGTGTGCTTATATGTGTGAAATGGAAACCAAAAATTCACAAAAGTTACTGCACAGTGAGCGATATGCTCAGAAATTTCCTATCTCATTCTCTTTCATTTAAAAAAAAAAAGCCTGATTATAACTTCCTAAATTTATATCATGACCTATACTGGCTTTTGACCCAAAGCGCAGCTCAGTCTAATGTGGATGAGGATTTATGGGGATTGCTGCCTTACGTCTGTGCCCTCTGGCCCTTCACCTCTGACCCATCACTTCAAGTGACAGTATGGTGATAATAATAACAAGCACTCAATTAATTTTAGCCACTTTAATATTAATTAGTCACTAATAATTCATAATATTAATAGTCATATTAATAATAGCCAATATACTTTTGTTTTTAGTAGCTAATACTTACTGAGTGCTTACTTTTACTGTAATTATATGTGATAACATTTTAATCCTCACTGCACCCCCATGATATAGGTACTAGGATTCTCTGCACATTACAGATGAGAAGTTTGAGGTTAAGTATCCTGCCCAAGGTCACATAGCTCTTGAGTGATGGAGCCACAATTCTGACCCAGGCGACTGAACTCAGGACATGAATGTAACCCCTAGATGGTGTTGCCTTTATGGACTGAGCCAGATGAACTTCCTAAGCCCTGATCATGCCATTACCCTGTTTTTGTCCCTCTAGCAGTCCAGTGGAGCCTTTAGGAATTCTAGTTTCTTGGTCAAAACTAAAGGCTCTTTCCCATCTGGCCTGCTCACTGAGCCACTTTCCTGGCCATGAATTCTGAGGACTGTACACCTTTGTGCGTGCTGTGCTGTTCCATCACAGAACCTCCACCTACCTAGATGGGCTATTTTCACATCTGCCTCGCCCTTTGACTGCAGTACCCTGAGGGCAGGCCCTGAGGGCATCTCCAGTGCTCATGAAATGTCTGCTGAGTAAATGAATGAATAAAACTACTTGGCAGCTACTTCATTCCTTCTTATCAATCTTAAGTAATGTAAAATATAGGTAGTTAAATTTAGATCATGTGTACTAGGTACATGTAAGATTGAATTAAAGGCATTGCTTAGATGCACTTTTTTAAAATTTCAGAGGCAGCCTCAGTTTTAAGTATGTGTCCAATACTTAGCAGCTGTGTGACCTTGAGCAAGTTATTTAACCTCTCTGTGCTTCAGTTTCCTTATCTGTGAAACAGTACCAACCTCTAAGGTTGTTCTGAGGATGAAATGAATTAATATATGTCCCTGGTACATTTGATCCCTGATGTATAATGAGTGCTCAATATTTATGAGCTATTATTATCATTTAAAAAAAACCCACATTTTATTTTTAAAAGGCATGCTTTCAAAGGCTCCAGCTAAGTGTCAGTTATAACTATAGAAGGGAACGTCCCCTCAGAAATGGATGTTAATAAATCTGAGACATATTTTGGCAGTTAAATTGGTGGATGACTATGTCTCTTATCAGTGTGTACCTGTTGACAGAAGACATGGGCTTCGAGGCAAAGGCTCAGTAATTACAAATTATTGACAACACAGTCCCCAAACTCATGGCTTCCCTATTACAAAGCGGTAGCAAGGAGAACATTTGCCTTGCTCTCATTTCCTTTTTACTTTTTTCCATTTTCATCTTAATACAGCAATTCAGTAAATATTTACTTTTTTGAACAGATGGGAGATCGGTCACGGTTCACACTCAGATTGGCATTTAATCGAGAGAAAAAGAAGAGATTGGAATGAAAGAAGTGACGGTGAAAAGCTACTCTTGGAGCAAGGGTCTGCAGCACATTGATGCTGAGACCCTGCAGGGGTGGGAGCAATGCTGGGGAAGGGCACCAGCTCAGACCTGCAACCCCCACCCTGGATGGGGGACAGGAGCACCCCCACAGGCTCATGCTTACACACGTCAGTCCCTCCCTACCCTGTTGACCTCCAGGTTCCCTGCTGCCCTTGAAATCCGTTAGCCTGACCCTTCCTGACTCTGCCTCTGCTTCCTCACACTGCCCACAGAACAACCCGCCACCCCAGCCCACCTCTCCCAGACACACACCCTCTGTTGCTTGCTGAAACTCTTCTTCAGGTGCCTTGAGACAGAGGGTGGTGATAGGAAGAGGGAGGACCATAAAACAACTGTTAATTGAATGCCAACTCATGCCGGGTGCTTCATGCATGTTATTTCTAATCCCTACAACAACTACACAGGTTAGATATTATCCTCTCATTTTATATTTTCTCTTATTTACTCCTATTTTACAGATGAGTTAACAGGCTCAAAGAGATTAAGCGATTTGCTCTAGATTACATGGCTTCTGAATGTCAGGGTCTAGATCTGAATCAGAAGAAAACATTTAAACCTGAAGAAAGGTACTGCACACCTAGTACCAGAGGTTAGTTCATTTGGTAAATAATTGCTAAGGCCCTCTTCTCTCCCAAGTGCTGCGAGAAATGCACGCACGTAACACATAGTGTACGGGGCTCCCTTCTTCTCTCCCCGCCCCCATTTCCTACCCCCCTTCCCCCTGAAGCTGAGTTTCTACCCTCTGTTCTAAGCCTTGTGTGCAGCTTTGGTGGAAAAGACAAATGAACTTCCTGCTCCTTGGAGCTTCTAGACAGTG